AGACAGCCCCGGGAGCGCTGTGGGGCGCAGCGGGGTGCTGCGAGGTCTTACGCAGCTTGTGGCGGCTCGGTTCGGTTGTGGGCTGTTGAGAAGTTGTGCAGGAGCGGGGGAAGCCGCCCCTTCGCGTACTGCCCGCGCTGGGCGCCTACCCCGCGCTGCCTCTGCGCCGGGCCCCGGCCTGCCGGCAGCTAGGGTTGGCATCTGCGTTGGGGAGGTAAGGCCGATTATTCTCTCGCTACAGCAGCTGTGAGGGCCTTTCTCTTCCAGGGATGAGTTACAGTGAAGTCAGGGGAAAAAAAAAAAAAAGTCTCAGAAAAATACTTTTTAGTTCTACCAATCTAGGTTGTTCAAAGAGATTTAGATTAATTCTTGCAGTAATGATGTGGCAGTGTGCACTGAAAGGTAACGGCTTTTATCAAAAGCTGTCATCAAGTATTCGGATTGTGTTAATCTGCCTTTCAACTATTGATTTAATTGGAGCTCCAGTAACGTAAGTTAACAGAGGAACTGATCCCTTGATTTTTCCATGCTGGACAACATACGGTTTTGATTATTAAGTATACTAATGCCTAATTAAAGTTATGAACTCTTCTAACACGAATTTTCCCTTCACATTATAAGGTTGGTTAGTTTTTTTGTTTGTTTTGTCTTAATAACAGCCAAAAATGAAAGGCTACCAGTTTGACCAATTACATATTGTAAAATGCATGCCAGTTTATATGGTATTTCCTAATAATATGCTACTCTTTCTGTGGCTTTTTATCTGGGCAGGTATATATAACACCACAAAATTAGATTTAACTTGTTCTCTGTATCAAATTATTTTCAAGTGATAAGTTATTAAGGAGATTGTGAATTTTGCTTTCAAAATTTAGAGCTAATGTTAATGTTTGGGCTGAATCATTTTTTCTCAGACATTGAAGCTTCACTGATTTTACTTAAATTTACATAGGACAGGGAAAACTTTAAACAGTCTTTGATGGTTTTTCTTTCTGCAGACTTTTTACATTTAAATACAAATGTGTATGAAATCAGTGGGACTGTGGGTTTCATGTCCTTAGGTTTATGTGCCATCGGTTTCACAGGGAGTTTGCCAGAAAGAGGAAGGATGGTCTTTTTCTATTACTAGTTGTTTATTCTTCCATCTCTTCTTCCTAGGTGTCTGGTGAATCAGGCATGGAAACTCGTTAGAGTAGTTTTGAAAAGTAGCTTTTTCTCCTTTTTCCACCTTCTGATTAGCTGTCCCTAAGATCACGTCTCTGATTCGGCTCGTCGTGCGGCCATGTGAGTGCTTGCACTGCGGGGGGAGCCAGGAACAAGGGCCTCAGGGGATGTAGGAGTGCCTTCAGTGGCTTAGCGAAACTGTAGCATTGGTAGTTTCCGTAGTTTCAGTTACTTGCGGCGTGGAAATGCACAGAAGAGGAAAAAAATTAGTACTAATGTTTGCAAATAGAGCTGTCCCAAAATATAACGGTAAAAGCAAAAATGTGATCTTCCATGATACAGAGTTGTTCCAGAAAATGTTACAAGGTGAAACATCTTGTCCATTTTCACGGTGTGGGTAAATAAGGTAGGCACCTCTGGAAATAAGCATTTTGCATATTTTGGTGGTGGAGGTTCTTATTTCTCATATGATACAGATATCTGAAATGGATCTCGAGATTTAAAGGTTGTTTGACTGTATTTTGTATTACAATAAGTAAAGCTGTTTTAAGCAGCAGAGCTAACCATGTGTGTTCACAGCAGTGCCACATATGCTGGTTTTATGTAGAAAAGAGTAGAAAAGTAATAGTGGAGGTAGGAATTTCTAGTATTCTCCAAGAAGTAAGTTATTGTCTTTGCGTGTTACTAAGGGTGAAAGTTGTGTGTGTTTTCTTTATGATTTCTGATTTTTTTTCCCCTTTTATTGGCATTTTGCAGATAAGTGTTTGAACACAGCACATGTATGCAGTCTGCCAGTATGTTTCTGAAAAAAATTTTAAGAAGTCCTGCCCTTCCATTTGCTGCACAATGTGGCATGAAAAAGGATTTGCTTCCACTCAGTAGAGCTCTGAGTTTATCAGTTTGCCTGAAGCAGGACAATTCATGCAATCACAAAGAAAAAATAGATTTAGATGCATGGAAGACAGTAATGAAGTCTGGGTTGCCAGAAGTCATCGGTGAGACAGTCTCTGAGCATAAGGAGCTTTCCACTTTGGCTGCTGCACGTAAAACTGTGGAGATGTGGAGACTAGCTGGCAGATTGGTTCCAGAAAATATCACCGAAGAACAGCTAAAAACCTTTATAGAATGTCCTTCCAAGTCAGCCCAGAAGAAGTATTTAAAATTTTTACATCTCAAAGAACTTTACAAGAAAAACAACAAAAGAAAGATGGATGAGAAAAGGGAAAGGAGGCTGGAAACAAAAGAGCAAGGTTCAGAACCTGATGAGGCCAGAAGGAATTCATTCATATGTTTGTGGGCCAGCTGTATGGATAGAGCATACAGTTGGAGGACTGCTCAGTCTATGATCTTTGGCCAGCCTCTAGTGTTTGACATGTCTTATGAAAAAGATATGTCTGCCCGAGAAGTGGCAAATGCAGTAAGACAGATGGTATTCAGCGAAGGCTGCAATCGAAGATCTGCGGATCCGTTCCACATCCATTTCTGTAACTTCAAAGAAGACAGCCTCTATCATAGGGAATTTATTAAGCATTATAAAGAGGCATGGGGCAAATTGCTTATCACTGTGACAGACCAGTGCTACACAGAAGTATTTCCAAAAGATAAGCTTATCTATCTGACTGCTGATTCTCCCAAAGTTATGAAAACATTCGATCATGATAAAATCTATATCGTTGGGTCAATAGTTGACAAGAGCATAAAAACAGGAGTCTCTTTAGCACGGGCAAAGCGACTGGGGCTGGAGACTGCGGCCCTTCCACTGGAGAAGTACTTGCTTTGGAATATTGGTGCCAAAAATCTCACACTAGATCAGATGATGCATATTTTATTAACCTTGAAAGATACTGGAGACTGGAAGAAGGCTCTGGAATTTGTTCCAAAAAGGAAATACTGTGGCTTTGTAAGCAAGCCTATACATGAACTGAAAAAAACCTTAAGCCTGGTCAACACACTTAAACTTGGAAGGAGACATGAAGAATTACAAAAGCAATTTGTCAAGAACTACTCTGAGAAGCTAACACGAAAGTAGAGTGGTGGGAACAAGAATGATTTTTTTAATGCTCTGGCTTCTTGGGACTCCTGCAGCTATGTTCAGCTTTTTATCTCCAACCTGTCTTTGTTGGTTAAATTTGAAAGTACTGTTGTTAGGGATTTTTTTTTTTTTCAATTACCTTAGTATTCCAGCTGTTTACAATTATTCACACATTATTGAAATTATGTATGAGAAATGAGATAATCTGTTCTAAAATATTACTCTGTACAACAAATATCCATCTGTTCAGTTGAACCATGCTGGGACAAGGGGAATTGCCACTGAATACAAAGGTTGTTCTTCAGAGAACACCTCAGTGCTTTGGGTTTGCAATGGGTGGACGCCATCCACACTTTTGTTCTGAAAGGTGAGCCATGTTGAAATAAAAGCTACTTCCTTGTCACTTCCTAGATCCTCTTTTGGTTTGTAGATGAATTGGCTTCTCATAGCTGAACTAAAAACAAATGGTCAAAACCCGGCATGGGTTTGGAAAGTTGCAGAATTTGTTTGTTAATGTTCTATCTGGAATGATATCAAGACCCAATTTGAGAGGAATAAGCCATATTTATTGATCCGGATTTTTATCCTTGAGGCCTATGTAATGTAGATTTCCTAAAGTACTGGAACTTTTGAGATGATAAACATTGATATTAGTAAATACTTAGAGGCGCAGGGAGCCTTTTAGTATTTCTGACAGCTGAAAATGTATTGATTGGCCTCTCTGAAAGTCTGTGTCCTGGCTGCAGAGCTACAATGGGCTAAAATACGGTTCTTCCTGCTGTCTGTAGGATGAGGAGGGATTCCTTTATGGGTACTTAAATATTTTTTATTTAGTCTAGCTGACTACCCTGATGCTTCAAGTCAATGATGGTAAATGGTGTGTGTGTGGGGGTGTCCTGAAAATTCAAAAACTAGGACTGGGGCATGTAATTTTTGAAGAGTAGGCTTCAAACACCCCAGGGGTTGGTGGTGATCCTCTCCATGTCTGGCCTCTTACATGTTGCTGCAAGGAGGGTTGGAAGACAGAAGACATGCTACCCCAATACTGCCCCTGAAGCACGGGGGTGTGCGTGGGGAAACCCTGGCATGGAGAAAGACCTCGTTCCTTCCAGCAGAGGTGGCTGGGCAGTCGGCCAAGCTGCACCGTGGGGCAGTGCTTCTGGGGGGCCGAGGGCACCCTCCAGCCCCGAGTCAAGCCCTTGGGGGCGAGGACTGGCTGCCTGGCTCAGATGGCCCTTCTTCCTTCCTTGTGTGAGGAAGAGACAACAGGGAGATGCGTGCTGCAGGAGCGTGCCTCCTGCTCGCCGTTACTCCATCAAACTGCCATTTCTGATCGGTGCACTGGTTTGCGCTTTGGGAGGGGAAAAATGACGTCACTGCTTGCTTGAGCTCACGCTGGTGCAGGATGAAAGAGGATTTTTAAACCGCGAGCAGTGGGGAGGGCGTGCCGCTGAGCACGGCAGCCGCCCGCGCTGTGTGTAGCCGTGCTGCTTCTCAGCACCGGGGATGCGGGGGCCCTGCCCGTGATGTCGAACCTGCAGCCCCGAGGGAGGGAAGCAGCGGCCAAGTGTGCCTCCGCCGGACGTGCGTCACAACGACGCCGCTCTCGGCCTTCCCGCCCTCCCCGGCGGCTCCCAGAGCGGCGCTTCCTTTCGCGTCACTCCTCCGCGCCGCGAGAGGCGGGGCTGGCCCGGCCGCTCTGGCCTCCGCCCGCGCTTTCTCTATGGTCAGGGGGAGAGGGCCAGCGGGTGGAGGAGCCGCGGAGAGGCAGCGCGCATGCGCGACGCGGGAGGCGGAGGCGGGGGAAAATGGCGGACGGCAGAGCTGAGGGGGAGAAGGCGAAGCGGCCGCAGCCCGGAGGAGGTGAACATGTAGCGCCTCTCGCCGCGTAGCTGCGGGGTGGGCAGGGGGCCCGGGCCGGTCCCCCAGGGGTGGGGGGGGTCCAAGGGTGTCGCCTCAGGGCGGGCCGGCCTGGGCTGTGCGGTGCCCGGCCCTGCGGGGAGAGGGGGCGGCCTGGGCCTGAGGGGGCTTCACTGGCGGAGAGGCCGCGGTCTGGGTCCGCTGACCTTACGCCTGAGGATTAGCCTCAGCCTTACAGGAGCTTTTAAAAACAATCTAACAGCTTCTCCTTGTCCGTGAAAATGCGTTATTTCTCTCTTTGTAAAAAAAATACACGGAATGCTTCTGTCGTGTACGGAGCGAAATTTGACCGTTGCTGCTGGCAAGGATGAAGATATTTCCTTAAAGATTAGCTTTTAACAGCTGTGGTACCTTTTAAAAATGGGTGCTGTCAATATTCTTTATCTGCTGTTTTAAGCATCCTGGGGTTTTTTGCTTGGTAGCAGTCTGCAAGTTTTTTGTTTGGTTTTATATCCTGTCACCTTCTGTGCTACTTACTATCAGTTCTTCAAAAATTTTTAATCGTATGATTCTTTCCTGCTTTCTTCCTCTGACTTAAAATTCAGAAGGCAGGGGTTTTTTTGCAAAGATAAAGCTTCTCTTTTCTATTTTTTGGGTTGTTTTGTTGTTTATCTATAGGAAGAAGACATTTCTCTGATCAATTGAAAAATTACATTCAGCTTGTAAACCAGTTACAGTAGCCTCAACAGTGATTGTTGTTTCTGATAATCACTAAAATATGAACAATAATACTTGATTTTAGGTAGTTCTTTCACTCTTTGTTTCGCTGGTTTGTGTGGCTTTTGGGGGGGGGTTTGATTGTTTTGTATTAGTAATTTGGTAACTGGACAGCATCAGTATGTCAGTTATCCATGCTGTCTTGTGTGCTGTTTGATGCACTGGAACATGATTTTAGTGAGTTATGGTACATTGGCCCAAAGGAAGGATAGTCTCTCCCTGATGATTTTTAAAAGTGCTTCAGAGTCTTTAGCTTTTGCCAAGATCAGTGGGATGTACCTTAAAGTTAACTTAGCTGTGACTGGTTTGTTCCCACCACCACCAGTGGTCACGCTTCCAAGGAGATCCTGAAATGCTGCACAACTAGCACTGTTAGTCTTGTCACTTAAACCACCTAGATAGTGGAAGTTGTCCGTTTACACAGCTTGTTGAGACTCATAAGGAAAACTCATCTGTGATGTAGGACAGCTTGTTATTACTGTGATCCATGAAAAGAGCACTGGTCAGACTCGTTTTGGAAATAGTACTGGTGCTTTCTGTAGGTGAAGAATGACCTCCTCGACACCTCTAGGAAGCAATAAAGAAGCCTTAATGTCTTGAAAATTATATATGCATTGGCATGGGTAATGGGAGCGACCTCTTAATGGATAGTATATATCTGCATTTCTGTTTCCTGCAGAGACAGAGCAGCCCAACAGCTCCCACCTACCCTAATAGTCCTATGCCCTTTATTGCTCCTTCAGCAAGTAAGAGCATTTCTTTCAGCAGTCTATAGTTCATCCTAAGTGGAGCCTAGCAGAAGTAACATTCAGAATGCAGTGGTGATAGGAGCTAATTTTGAGAGAGAAGCTATTTAATATTTTGGTGAGAAGAGAGATGTGTGTAAGCTTTGTTAGGCTTTATCTTGTGCTTAGCAATATTCTAGAATTTGCAGTCAAAGAAGTAAGCTGTAGTGTAATTAGGTTCAAGCTAGCATTAGCTTAAGAACCTGGACTGCTCCGATGTGCCCTGAGATTTGGGCTGCTGTGGATTTTGTATTTTATGTAAAATAAGACTTTTAGGCTCATGGTTCCAGTACTTTTAAGGCCAATGAATTTTCTACCTTCCCTCGAATCACCTTACAGTCTCTAGTGTACCTAGTCTGGACTTGTAATCGAATATTCTGTTTAATGTGATTTCATGGTCTAGCTGTAGAGTTTCTCATAGCCTTGAAGACTGATGTCTGGGAAACTGTGCTAAGACAGCAGTCAGTGCCCAAGGTCACTTGTGTAAATTTTGCTTGTTTCTCTTTCCTCCTTTGTTTTTCACTTTTATAGCTATACTTTCTGGGTCACATATCTTGTGGTGCAGATTAGTAGCATTTTTTAATAGAGTGAAATTGATTACAGTTACTACTTTTTTTCTTTTTTTCTTTTTTTTTTTTGTGATCTGACATGTTTCCAAATGTGAATAATCCATTTTTGTTTCAATTACTTATCACCTTGATAGCTAGAAGAGTGAGGTAGAAAGGGTATATTCTGCTACTTAACATTTGGGAAATAACAGAAAAATAGGGTCCGTACTTTTTCTTTTTCCTGATGTTGTTTCCTTCCTCTCTTTCTCAGAGCTACAATCTTGTTGACCCCCTGTCCAGACTGGCTTCTCTCCCATTGCTCTACCTTACTAATAGCTTTTTGCTGTTAGAGAGCAGTGCGAATAGCTTTCTTCCCTGATGGTCTGAATATGCTGTGCATGGAGGGGCCTGTTCTCCACTCGATATAATGATGAGGAACTGGTGCTAGCTCCAGTTTTTCTTAGACTGATAGTATGAATACTTCCCTATCTGTTCACCAGTGCATGGGTGTTTTTTTTTTTTGCTTCTGCTACTGCAGTGATTATCTTATTGCAGCAGCAGAGAAATGTATTTTTGCTGAAGCATTTACTATGTTCAGTACGAGTTTTCCGGACACCTTTGTCTCTTGGTGTAGCTGAAGAAGCCGAGTCTGTAGGAATGAAAATGTGATTTTGAGTGTTTTTTTCTCTGTGGATTATTGTTCAGCTGCTATGTTTTCCATGCCTTTATACAAAAACAGAAAAGGTGAAATCTATATATATGTTTTTCTAGTGCTGATTCCTTCCTCAAGCAGAGCTTGGCAGATTTATTACAGATGAGATGCGGACAAGCAGTGACTTGAAACATGATTGAGACAGCCGGCCTCACTGTAGTCACTTCCATGATTTTAGAGTTGTGCCAGACAAGCCTAGAGACTGGCATGGACATGTTTTTGTAGAAATTTAGTAGAATTAATTTTAACTTAGGTTATCTACTCTAGATTTGGAATTGGGATTCCAGTTATGAAAGCTTATCTATGGCAACTTAAACCCTAAAAAGATTTAGTCATCTACATTTAATTTACTACATGAACTTTGACTTCCATCCTAAATAAAGAGATGGTGCTTCAAGATTGTTTTCCTGGCTCATACACAAGAAGTTCTTTACAAGTAGTGGAGTGCTTGCAGTTTCTTCTCCTCTTTGTGTTTTGCTGTCCACTAAATGTACATTGGTGGAAACTGCTGTCACTAAAACCTATTGCACCCAAAGTATAATGCTTTTTGAGGTTGCTGCTCCCATCAGTCTGCTCAGTAAAAATAGCTCATCTTGGTAAGTTGTTTCGACTTCACCAGGACCTGAAGAAGAGGCAGAAAAACCTGTGAAAACTAAGACTGTTTCTTCCAGTAATGGAGGAGAAAGTTCGAGTCGCAGCGCAGAGAAACGGGCAGCTAATGAAGAAGCTGAAGACTTCACCACAAAGCCTGCTCCTGCCAAAATGTCCAAGTTTGGATTTTCCATAGGCAGTCAGACAGCAAAGAAGGCATCTGCAATATCCATCAAACTAGGAGCAAATGTAAGTTGTCTTGAGGGCTTTTAATTTTAGGGAAAGTGAGGCAAAGGGGGAAGTACTTTGGGGAGGCTTCCTTGCAGAAGGAAAGCCTTGAATTACATGAGGGTAACAAGGATAAAGTTTAAGAAAGCATTGGAGGGCCACCTAGTCGTGCATGTGTAAGTACTTCAAGGTGATTAATCATCAGGTTAGTTGTCCCAGGAAGCATCAGACTTGATTGAAATGAACTGTAGGTCTGTGAACATACAGAATAATTTTGTAGTGAGATTTGGTAAGTCTGGAATAATTTCCTGGGGGAAATGAGCAGACTTGTTAAAGTGTTCAGGTTACTTTGAAATGAGTGCTGGGAGCTTCACTGCATGGAACACTTAAAGCTACAAGAAAGCAAGTACTCTCCTAGGTGGCTTAATAGGTCATCTTCCACTCCAAAGATCTTATTTTAGCATGAGGAAGTATAGTTTATTTTCCATGACTTTGCCTGTTCTTTGCAAGGACGGTATGATTCATTTATACTGTATGCAAGAGGGGACGCTTCGTTCCATAGGTTTCTAAGAATTCTGATACCCTTTATTGTCCAGTACAAGGTGCTTGTTCAGATGTGAGTCTGATGCCTCTCCTTACTACCGAAGTAGTCCTCCAGTAGCTTGGGCAAGGACAAGCCAGATGCTGTCTCTCTGGTTGATAACGGTTCATTTACACTTACCCCGTACCACTGTAATGGATACATTATAAATCCTTGACTGGATTAAATTCAAATTGTAAGCATGAAAGGCTTACACCTGAAATGCTAGTGTTTTATGAATCTGCAAAAGATGGAGAGAGCTCTCTTATTTTTAGATGGGAGGTAGATGTGCGCTGGCAGCGTTCTAGAGTATAAACACCATCAGGTCAGCTCAGACTTTGGAAAAAGCTGCCTTCTCTGAGCCACTAGCAAGTTCTGATTTCTCATGCAAAAGGATACATCCAGTGGCACTAAATTTGGCTCAAGATTTCTGGCTCACTGAATTTAGTGGGTGACTGGCAGTGTACCACATTGGACATGCTGAAACTTAATCCTGTTTCTTTTTAGTCAGTTTTACTCCCTTAGTATGTTACCTGTTCCTGTGGAGCTGATGCTTTAAAATATGGCACAATATTTTTACATTACATGCTATTGGTGAGGAATAGCTGTAGACAGTTGCATAAGGACTCTGTTGCAGTATCAGCTTCAAAACTATGAGTGTATATGAAATAATCACCCATAAAATCAAAATGGAGGAAGCACCGTATATGATTTAGATATTTGGTAATACTGTCACAGCAAACTTACTGATGACTCAGTGCTTTCTTAGTGGTCTCAAAGTTAGTTTCTGTGTCTCTGCTGTATGACATGTAACAGTTGTGAGTTTGATAGCTTCTTAACACTTTAAATACGGGAAGGTACTGGAAATGAAAATAACACTTTAAAAGAGACCTCTATTAATCAGGCTGTGTTATGCACATTGATGCTAGTTTTAAAGTATTTTTTAAAGCCAGAAGGATGTTAAGTTTTTAAAATTCAAGAAAGTAAACACATCTTCCTGTCATTGATGGATAAGAATACTTCAAAAGAGTAATGGCAAGGGTGACATAGTAAAATTTTGAATATCACAATTTATTCAGGTTCTGATTTAATTGTTCATGTCACGCACCAGTGCCTGCATACCCCTGCAGTGTGCTAGAAAGTTAAGAGTTGCTTGTGGGGAATTGTAATATGAGAGGGCTTGGCTAGTTTTTTAGAGTGTATCTCACACAAATGAGCAGCCATTTTCCTTTTTCATTAGAGAGAAACTGTCATCTCCTTGATTCAAACAAAAACACTTTTCCCCCCTCATTGCCCATTTCAGTGAAGATGTTTGACTTCATTTTAGCAAAATATTTAAAATTCCAAGGTGAGGTTTTTTTGAGTTGGTGGACTTACTTGTGCATTTGGTCTTTTTCAGAAGCCTAAAGAGCCTGTTCCAACCCTTGCTCCAAAAACCCTTTCTGTAGCAGCAGCTTTCAATGAAGATGAAGATGTGAGTAATAAGCCAGTGATCATCACAAGTTAAAGTACCATTGGTGTGGGTTAGAGTTAGGCAGAGGGAGTGGGTCATTTAAGGTTCTTCAAATAAATGTTGGGGATTTTCAACCTAGAAATATCCCTTGTGTTTGTTTTAGAATGTATAACTTTAGCTCTGTTTTGGTTCAAGAAATCATGAAAGTGTTGATAACTTTTCCCTGAAAATGAGATGCACAAAATAATTTGAACTAATGGTTGCTTTCTCTGAGCTTGATAAAAGGGAGGTGAAGAAGAGTTGGGCTTTCTCTGGTTTGATAAATATTTTATTGTCATGTTACTGCTTCTTCTTAGGCAGAGGTGAACAAAGGGCTTCATATTTCTTTCAGTAACCTTGTAGAAACTCTGTTTTGTCCTACCACTTTGCTTTCCTGTAGGGCTGTAGTCTGTACTTTATCTTGTCAGGCATTTGAAATGTTCAAAAGACAGTACCCAGCCACACTCTAACCTACTTTCTCTCTGTAGAGTGAACCAGAAGAAATGCCTCCAGAAGCCAAGATGCGCATGAAGAACATTGGAAGGTAGGTCAGCTTTTAACTGTGGTTTGGAGAAGGGTGAGTGCATGAGAATACCTCCTCCAGCACAGGTCACATCTTGCAGGTGGTTTAGAAATATAGGAAGATAGAATACATTCAGAAAGTTTTTCTTCAGAAACGTGAAAATTTTAATACAGATATTTTGAATTCTTCAGCTGTAGGTTAAAAGGAATACATTTATATTTGCACTTTGAGTTTTATTTTCATTCTTTCTAAGGAAGAAATTGATTCTGTGTTAAATAGAAGCTAGTTTTCTTCTTGAAAAGGTAATAGGTGGGAGTTCCTGCTTGCTTCTAAACTTTTTATCTGTCTATAAGTTGACCTGAAATAGGGTAGTCATGTCAGATTTTTAAACTCCCATGCAAGGGGAATATGAGAATCATCTCTTTAAGAGAGTCAGAGAATCACTTGTTTGCTTTTGAAACAAATGTATATAATTGTTCTGCTTGCCACAAATTTGAGACAGTGCAAGGCTGGTAGGGACATTTTCAGAGGAGGCTTCACTTAAGTCAGGGATTAATTTTGAGCATGTGTATTTTAAACATGTTTATCATGATAAAATGCTTTTAAAGTCAGACCTCTGGATGCTCACTACTGTTTAGTGGGGTTTTATCTCCAAAAGCAAATTTGGATCTTCAGTTTTGTAGCCCTTGCAACAAATTCTTGACAGCTGGCAAAAGTGACTGCCACTCCCCCTCCTCTGCTGCCCCATCTCCTTGCTCTGTCTTGACATGTTACCGAGAGATCAGTTCTGTGGCCGAATTACGGTTGCTAATAGTGAGGACTCCTGATGTAACAAAGAAATGTGTGGTAGTTTCTGGTGGCAGGTTGGACTTGAAATTGGTGATCTCAGTGTCATGTTGCACAAACTGCTGTAGCTGAGCTGACTATCTCAACTGATCTTGTTTTACTTTTTTCACAGGGATACACCAACCTCAGCAGGACCAAATTCCTTCAATAAAGGAAAGCATGGTTTTTCTGACAACCAGAAGCTATGGGAACGAAATATAAAATCTCATCTTGGAAATGTCCATGACCAAGAAAATAACTAGATGATGTGGATTGAGAGTTGGGTGTTTGGGGGGAGGGTAGGGTGTAACGTTAAAGGAACAGTTTCCTTTTTTAAGAATGGTATAAGACTATCTTTGGAGCCACTTTTTTAAGATTGAGTGGTACACTAATAACTGAGTTTGAAATTAGAGGTAATTTATGTTTTGTATACAGATTTCAAGGCATTTGCTAATTTTGTAGTTCCATGTGATTAGTTTCAAAAGGTTACAGATAATAAAGAAATTGGAGTGGTACCTTTTAAGATTTTTTTTTTTTTTTTTTTTTTTAGGTGGATGAAAAAGGTTACTGTCTCTTTAATGAGGTTAACATTGAATGCTCTTGCATTCTCACTTCTGGCTCCCTCTTCATAACAGGAGAAACAGTTGACTCCTAGGAATATGGCTAAAGAGAGTGAGCATTGTCTTGTGCTAGAAGTGTTACTGGACTATTACTTTGAATATCAATTTATGCAGGAAATAATAAGAATCTGGATTTTTTTTCTCCCTGCAGTCACCTTTTGTTAAGTCTCTGCAAACTAGGCATTATGTTGCTCTGAGTGGCTCTGGTAACTTAGCTCTAATTTTGTTTAAAACTTCATGTAGGATGTGTAACCTTCTGTGGCCTGTTTCATCCTAAGGAAATAGGCCTTGTCTGTATATTAGATACAGTCTGTAAAGAATATTCACTACAAAGGTAAATCAGTATTTTCAGTGTGCTCCTCTTAAATCATTAGTCTTGAGTAGTGCTTGTTAGCATTTCCTTGCAGTACACAAAAGCCACCACCAAAAAGACAAGCTAATGTACATTAAGCTTCACATTTGGTTGAAAGATTTTTCTTTACTATGCCTAGAAGGAATAAAAGCCACACCAAAAATCAGTAACTCACTGCTTAAGTATGAAAAATCCAAGATGCACTTTCCCTGTCTTGCCATTTAAAACAAAATGCCTTGATGCCTGTGACCTCAATGGATGCTATCAGGTTAAAGAATGCTGTATTTGCAGTCCTAATTCTTCTAACAAGTGTCAATTTCAGAATTAAACTTGACCTTTTCCTACCTGTCTGCCTTTTGCAGTGATTTTCAACAATTAATGTCATTGTTGAACTAATTAAACTATGTGGTCAGTTTAACTTCCGAGCTTTCTTACTGTGGAACAGTTCTGTAGGATTTCAGACCTAGTAATGACTGCCTAAATTTCAGTCTAATTTAGATTGCATAGTTTTAAAACCTTTTACTATCAGAACTGGTTAAACAGAAAGTTGTAAACAGCAACTCCACCCCGCCACACACCACCCCCCACCCCCCTAAACAAACATACCACTCTTTTTAAACTCAAAATACCTGATAGTGTCAGCCACTAAATTAATTTCAGCCTGGAACTGGTCATAGAATTCAGTACATTAATTGTTTTCATCCTGCTTCTGAAACCTTTTTTCATGTTAAAGCTGAACGTGCAAGTGCAGAAAGGAAAGTGCATCTTGATGTGTATTTTTATTTTCATTATTTTAGGAAAGCTCTGACCACTTAGACTTTTGAGTTTGTAAGTTCTAAAAAAATATTTTTTTGTATTTTTGTATTGTATGTGTAATCTTTCTTCTTTTGAAGTCTGATGCAGTTGAATACCTGTAACTATTTTCTTTAAAAGCCTTGTTATAAACGTAACATAAAAACGTATACCTTATTTTTTTTTTCCATAGCAGAATTCTTTGGTTTATTTAAAACAACACACTTTCAGGACTTCCAAAACTGGTTTGGGCATTACTGGAGCTAGGCAAGGCAAAATGAAGCATTTACTTTTCACTTTTCTCACACGTGGTTATGTTTGTCAAAATAAATCCCTTTAAGATAGTGGTAATTCACAGTGAATAACTATTTTATCTTGCTCCTTGGTAGTTACTCGATACTGTCTTGGTCACTTATATTTTGAAAAAAGCAAAAGGGAACTTTGAATAAGAGGGTGACTTTGAGACCTATGCTTTTTTAGTTAACCTGCCGCCACCTCTGTCTTCTACATGTGTGGCTGAAGTAGACCTTCATTTCAACAGAATTTCCTGGTACTTCAAAATCCTTCAGGAAATCACTAGGCAGAACAGCAGTCACACTAGGCAATACCTTCCATGCAAGTGAGAGAGCAAAAGTTCTATTTATCATACTCCCATAGTCAATAAATGTAATCCATGACCTTGTGAGAGGCTGCACCAACGTCTGGGTCTGACTGGAGGTAAGCAGAGATCCTGCCTCCCTCAGTGTATGAGTTCTGCTCCTTCTCAGTGTTTCACAGAAGATAATCGATCAGGGTGGCCTAAATCCACTCAGGACTGACTAGCTGACAAGCTTGATCATGTAGCTACAAGGTCATCTGCTGGTGCTTAATGTCTAATGCTTGCAGGAAAGATCTGACCTGCAAAGTATCATCAAGGTAAATGTTAGCTAGAACTTGTAATTCTAGGCTTTTGTTACAATAATTGTGGTCTGCGCCTGAAGATAGTTCGGGGGAGGGGGGAGGTTTGTGTGATACAGTTTGTTCTTTTTCTAAGAATATTCAGGAATTTTTAAACTCATGGTAAACTTACCTGATCTAGCTATCTTTAGTGTTTCCAGGAGATATGCTGAGCGCTTTAGCTACTGTGTATACCTACCTATCCGTGGTTGAAATGTCTCAGTGTAACTTGTGCAGTTTTATATCAGAAGGCTTACGCTTGCTTAGCAGTAAAGCTTTACTGAGCACCTGAGCAGTTTGCAAAACACTCAAGACATTAGGTGAAGATGTAAGTAGTTACCCAGTAACCTTCTCTGTGCTACCCTGCAGCTAGGCTGCTTTTCAGCCTGCTGGGTTGTGAATGGATCGAACTCATCTAATGCTACCTATTAAAATAATAATAATAAAAAAACAAAAAACAGTGCAGTCAGCTACCAGTGAGGGGGTTTTGGGCAATCCCGAGTGTAGCCCCTTACACACCTAATTTCATTCCTGTAGAAGTGTAGGAGGTGCCCTGTCCACGTTGTCAGTCTATTTTGTCAGCAGAAAGCAGTACCCAACCAGCCCATCTGTAAATCCGATAGATGCTATTTTAATTTCATGGGCTTACTCCCGTGTCATGGATGACCCAGTTACAGTATTCAACCAACTCTGACAAATCATAACTATCATGTCCCAGGGTGACCACAGTGGCAGGCCAGATGTGCTTGAGTTCCACATCTGCCTGATCATGGAGCACCTCCTTGTCAGAACCTACCAGCTGTGCTGAGAGTCCTATGTGCTGGGGTGGCTTTGCCAAAGATTTCTGTGTGGAGACTTGGAGGGAAAGGCAGCTTTTGAGAGAATGGCAGCTTCTGCTTCCTGAAGAGGTTGTAAACTATTGGAAATCACAGGTGTAACACACTCTTTCTAGGCTGCTGTAAAATAAGAAGATAAATGCTTGCAGAAGCAACAGAATTTCAAGCAGGCTTTTTATCTGTGTAGTTAGTAGCCTTAAAAGGTGTTCTGCAAAAAGTGTTTTTTATAAATTAATTATAAAGTTACAAATTGAGGAATGCTGAGTAGTTATGCCCTTAAGCTACAGAAGGGAAGGTTACATTCTAAAATCACCATAATTTGTCTCCTTCCTCTGCCAACAGACACTAGAACACCATAAAAATTGGACAATTGGTTTTCTTATTTTATCCTATTAACACCTGTCCCGATCCAGTGTCGGGGGAGGTTTCGATACGATCCCAAGAGCGAGATTAAGACACAGACGAGGTCAAATGCCGTATACCCAAAATAGGTTTTTATTATTAAAAAAGTGAAGAGGGGTAGCGACAGAATGGAAGGAAAAGGCGGAAATCAGGGATGTGTGATAGGGCTGCAAGCATAGTCACCACCATGGATCCAGCGGCGTCCCGTTGGTCCTCAGCCTTCAGTTCTTTGGTGGTGGGTGCACACAGATCTGGCTTTGATGGCAGATGCACACAAAGCAACATTTTCTGCTGCCTTTTTAAGTTCATCATACCCACTGATCAGCATATCTGCTACCCTTTAGTTTTTTTTTTTTCTCTGGTCCAACAGGTTTTGCATCCGTGTCAAGGGCAGGAACATTTGCCTCTTAGCCTCTTACCAGTTCACTAGCAATGCGTGCATGGGGTCTGGCCTACACTATAGAGCCACAAACGGCTCCAGGATGGGGCCAGCTCAGTCACGTCTGCCCCTTTGAGGCTTATGTAAAGAGTCCGGACAATGCAACGGCCAAGAAGTGGGGGGTGCATCCTTCAATACACTCCCGCTTCCCTGGGCAGCATCCCCCAGACCAGTTCACAGGCCGCAGCAGCTTCTCTTGGAGGTTTGCACAGACACAAGCAGGCTTCGAGACAGTCATAGGACATTTTGGTCTCTCACAACACCTTCCTTACTTCTTCTATTAATGAAGGGATCTCCTACTGTTTTCTGATTTTGATATATTGGCATTTTAAAAACTGTTTAGTGCTTACTTAGGAAAGCTGCTTGTGTTAATGATCTGGAGCTGTTGCCTCAGGGAAGATGATAGTTATCCATAGAGTTAAAAGCATGAAACATGAACTGTTACACTTGAGCGCTACATGTATAGAGTGTGCTAAATTTCTGTTTGTGAAACTCCACTTCAAAGTCCAAGCAATATTTAGTTACTGAAGCAAACCTGTAAACCCCACTTTGCGGCATACATACATCTATGTCAGCTACCCTTTGGGCGCAGTGGAGTGGGCGAGCGTGGCAGGGGCTGTCACAGCGAGCAATCAGAGCATGTACTTTTTCATTCAGTGGCATATAGTTTCTTAAAAAGCTTTGCTAATCTTGTGATTTAGTTCTTAAATTTGGATTTCCCAATGAGACAGATGCACAAATAAAGTGTATGGTTCTGTAGCAGGAACTCCGCTGAAACCTGATGTCATGAGCCTCTGTTTATGTTTTCCTTGTAGTACAAGCTTATTAATTTAAGGTGATGCAAGTCTCCCGCAGCTTTCCGTAATTTGTAGGCATAGTAGTTGCCTATAAAGCTGATGCTCGGTATCTTGTTATAAAATCATAATTCTGCCATTGCTTTAGTGGAAGTGTAGCTGTGGTAGCCTTTCATATCCATATATGCACCATCCCTGCTACACAGAATTGCGGGCACTGAATAGAGCAGTGCAGTGTAGAGTGATTGAGAAACTAGTGCATCTCTTGGGCTGTGCCTTAGTTTTGTTACTTGGGTGCTTGTTTAACATGGTCCTGTTCACATGTGAAATCTAAGGCCAGGCAAGAAGAGCTTTGGCTGCTACACATCTAAAAGCACTGAGGAAGTTAATACTGACATTACCATCTGTAAGGCAGGGCACTTCACCTGAGACAAGAAATACCACCCTCAGGACAAAACTCGTCCTAGGGGTGCAAGACAAACTTACTTTCTGAAAGGTCCCTTCAAAGCCTCACGAGACTTGTAAGCACATTCCCCAACGGTCCCGTGCCCGAGGGAGGCAGCGATGGGACCTGGGGCCTAGCTGGAATGCCTCTGCAGGAGAAGGGCTCGATAAGGGATCGCTTGGGAGGTGCTGGGTTCTCATCGTGTTGGCAGCAGCAGGAGCTGTCAGACAGGCTCCTCAGTGCCACCACATTAAACACACACACAGTGCCAGTGCTGTACAAATACACGGTTCTTCCTTTAACAGCCAGCAACGACATGCTTCTAGCTCCAGTGGAAAGCCACAGGACATATCACCCACACAGCACTTTCACATCTGTAGCTGTCCCTGTTGAGCAGTGGTCGTTCAGTGGTTGGCCGCATCACTCCTTCAGCACTCAGCCTTGTGACACCCCGGTTTTAATTTAATTATATACTTCCCACTTCACTTGGTTACTTGCGGGGGCTTACAGAAGAGTTAACATGTTAAAAAGCTCCCAGAATTTCCTCTAGGAATCAGGATGATCCACAAAAGGTAATCAGGCTTTCTGCAACACTGACGTTGCCTGAAAGTTGCTCTGACAGATGGGGGAAAGGCACAGGGTGCTGCCCGTTCCCAGGCCGGGAGGCAGCTGTACAGCTCACCCTTCAGCCAGGAGGGTGACACTGGAGCACAACTTCCGAGCCACAACCCCTGCTCAAACACTCATCCCTGAGCAGAGGCCAAGGCAGAAGTGCTGTCTGGTGCTTGCTTTAGGGGGGGCAGAGTTGTACAGAAACCCAAATCAAGAGAAGTAACATCTGAAACAAACTAAAATGGTTACTGCTAGGTACTAACTAGCAAGCTGGCACAGCGCCTCCTTCACCAAGAGGTCTTAAGCAAAACTTGAAAAGTAAGTATTACTAGAACTGAACACATCTATCTATATATGGAAGATGAAATACTGAAAAGGAATAATTCAGCAACACATTTTTTCCCCCAAAAAAAGAAAAGTTGCTCTAAAGAGTAATTCATGGCAATGCTCAGTTTATTTAATGACAGAGATGACCATAACTCTATACATCTAACACTAAATAAAAACAGCAGAATGTACAAATCAAATCAATTATGTACAGGAATTCATTAGGAATACTTTAAAAATGGACATTTCTCATGAGCTCTATTTAAAAAAAAAAATCAAATTAAATAGTATCAACTACGTATTTGCAGTCTGACTTCAAATAGATAAGGGTAATGAACATCTTAAATTAAGAGCTGAAGTCTAAAGAAAAACATAAGGCAACTTCAGAGATACAGGAACAGCAAAGCTCAGAGCGACACTCCCTACTCACCTCCTGCCCTTCTGAAAAGGTAAGGCACAGTACATTAGGAAAGGGGTGCTGCAACACTTAGCTTTGGCATTCCTGGTTGTCTTGTTTAGGAAACACTCTTTGTGAATTTTTGTTTGTTTGTTTTTAAATGGCAGGCCATCAAGTTAGTGAAAGCATTTTTACAGTGGGTAACAAGGCTTCTAAATTCAGATTCACTTCTTCCATAGGCTGGGCAAATAAATAAATGCACCAAAGATTAAACTAAGGTGCTGGTAATATTCTTTTTATAAGGTAACACACTAAATATACAAATAAGTTCTAGCACTATTTACAGCTATTTTTCCTTGAACATTTCATCACTTTAGGAATACATAATTATTTGTAAGATAAAAACATTGAAGTACATTTTAAAGTTTACCTAATGCTCTTTTATATCTTCTTCCATCACAACAGCAGTATTTTAATTTTAAGCAGGATGGCTATCTCCAGATTCTTGACCATACAAAAATTCAAGAGTTACAGCTAGCAGGTTGTTGGGGCTTTTTTGAGTATTCACTTTAGTTTTACTCCATTTGGTAATTAGAAAATAATACAATTGTAAAGGGCTTCAGGATGTATAAACAACTAGATTATTTCTCTGCAGGAAGACTGTGACCTTTGAAATAGTCATCTATAGATTAACTCAGATCCAAGGCAGGAAACTAGAACTATATCATATTGCTCAAAAAATTTCTACAACTGCTTATCTACATGCTTGCAAAGTATGAAAAGAACAGTTCATTCTGTAGCTTAGTAGACAGATACTCAAGTAAGATGAAAGGCAGAAATACTAATTCAAATGAGGTGGTTACTTTGTCACAGATTTTGCCTAAATTTTGTTCAGTGGATCTCTTTCACAGGTAGTAAGTACAGCATGTAACTTTATCTGTGAAGTTTACTCTGAAATATTACAGGCTTCTGGCTCCTTGGATATCTTGCTACTGTCAAAGTTGGGAAACGTTTGATAGTATTATAGATTAAGAAAAATTTAAAGAATACAGTTCTGATTGTTCATGGGTATAGAACATTCAGTTACCTCAACAGACATGTTTCTTGCTTAAAAAACACCTAAACAAGCAACATGGAAAGAACCCACACCTTGTACAGATGAAGATGGGCATTGTTCATGGTATTAAATGACGGACATTTTAACTTGGACCAAGCATGGCTGTGATTCATACTTACTTGCAGGAACACCCAGTAAGAATTTTTCCATCTATGCAGTCTAACACTGGGTAATTAGCTTGCCCTAGAAATATTTTCTTACAGCAGCCGTAATGGGTCTTCTAGAGACAAACATAATTTTTACCCCATACTTAGGTTTTGATAGTTCTCTATCCTGATATCGCTGGGTGTCCTGTTTGCAAATTAGCAGGGCTCCCCCTTTCAACACGATACGAGATGAGATCAGATTTTAACTAGTTAGACTTCTGCAGTATATTTATATTCCTGAAGAATGTGCCATTAAACCTTTTTCATTTGAGTTTCTATGTCAAATGTAATGCAAAATTAGAACCATCCCTCATTAGGCTGTCTGCTTTGGACACATACAACGATAGCTTCTGTTACGCAACCAATCATCATTAACTAACCATGGTTGTGCCTAGAGGCTGAAGTGTAAGCTCCCTGCTTACAAATAAAAAGCAATTTTTTGCCTTCTCTAAGCCGGCTCCCTGCAGTGCGCTGTTCTCTGGTCAACTTAAATTCACAATCCATCTCAGAGAAACACTTCCTCAAGACTTCAGTGAACCTCTGCCCATCACCTGTAAAACATTTTACAGCATTTTGCTGAACTTTGGGCCTGCCACTCACCAACTTGGAATTTAAGTTCTTCAAAACCAGGATTCACCAACTTCTGATGGTTCTACCCAAAGAAAAAAGCCTCAGATTTTCTGTATGTTGCATTAAGCACATGCTGCAGGAAGCACTGTACCATCCCCTTGTCTTGGGGAGTAAACAGACAGAATCCAGTGCAGGTAATTTGCTTGCAAACTTGAAATATATGTAAAAACATAAGTTAAAAAATGCTACTGATAGCTGTGCATTTAGTGCATCTTATACTTTTTCTTTTTTTTTTTTAAAGTTACAGCATGGTACTTACTCCATGACACAGAAAACTTTATTATTCCAATTTTTTTTTTTTTAATTTTATTTCAGTTATGGCCAGTGCAGAAATCTTAGCCTTCAAAGCCTTGGCCCACACCGAAGCATCTTAACTTTTTGCCTGTAATGCAGTATTTTGTCAGCAAGATGTTCAGTACTGGGGATTAACTGTCTGAAAACAGTCATCACTGTAAGCCTGAGACATCCAGTCGCTCCCACAGATCACAAGACCTCACCCTTTTTCCCCTCTTATGTACTGCATTCAGTCTGTCTTTGTAACATGGGCCACTTCCACTTCTACAGTTTCGATGGCCTGTGTCACTTCAACCATTTTCTGTCCTTGCTGTTGAGCCAATACATAATTTACCACCTGCATGATGCTTTGGTCAGAAAGAGTAGACACTGATGTACATTCTTCAGTAGCTGCAACTGCTTCGATAGCTTCAAGCGTCTCTCCTGTCACTACCACGGTCTCAATCTCATTATCTTCAATGCTAATCTCTGTTTCTTGTTCCTGCATGTCTGCTGCTAAAATGCTGATGGCATGCTCTACCTGTGTTCCCTGGTTATGAAACTGAAGAGTATCTTTTTCCAGCATAATTTTGCAGGGTACGTAATCCCTATGGAACTTGGTCATGTGCTTCCGCAGCGTGCGGGCGTCTATGTAAGCTTCGTTGCACACCGGACAGACGTAGGGCCGCTCTCCGGTGTGCGTCCTCACGTGGCGCTTCAAGGAGCGCGCGTCAGCCCAGGCCACGCCGCAGGTCAGACACTCAAAGGGCTTCACACCTGCTCTCGAAGGGAAGGCAAGGACAAGACATCGTCAGTGTTCATACATATGCATGAGTGACGATGAGAAGTGATGGGGGGAACAGCAGTATAAAATCTCAGAAGAAATACTGTAATTTTTTTCATGTAAGAAAGAGATCTTGCTTACCAATTTTCTGCTCTACAATATAATGCAAGCCTAATACATTCAGTGGTCATATTTTCCACAAGTGCTCTGTCCAATCTAACATTTTACTTCTAAAAAACTTTTCTTCTCAAAGTTCCTTTTAATATAGCTTCTCCCCTATTTCAAGTGCATACCACTTAATAAAATTCTCAGTATTATTTTTCCAGCAATGCCTTTCTGAAACCATGTTTTACTTCACAGAATTTGTTACTCACATTTCTAGTCATCTTTTATTTTTGTAAATCCCTTTATATACCTCTCGCCAAACCAGCACCCATTCTAGTTAGCTGGTAATGCCATCAACAGTTGTTTCCTCATCCTCCACACCACATATGTTCAAACACTGCACCTGATGCTTGTACGATCTTATTCTCCCTTACAACATCTGACTTTTGTGGTCTGTAGTATCTCATGGGGCATGTGGGTAGTGACAAACACTATTTAAATACTGGCTTTTCCTCTGTAACACTGTAGATTTAGGCTAAGCACCTACTACAGGACACTTTCTCTGTTTAGAAACAAACACAAAATCTCTATTTCAGAAGTTAGACAGCTATTACATTTACTCATACAAGCTCTTTTGAAGCATGTCTCCTTTTAAAAAGTGGTTTTTGCCCTGAAATAGAAGTACATATAGACTTCTAACAGAGCTGGAACATCCAAATGCTCAAAAATCAGTATCATACTTCACATCTAAAGTAAAAATGCACACTTTTTTTTTTAAAAAAAAATGTTTTCATATTTTCCCCCAAACATCATATAGCTTGTTATAAATCAAGAAGTTGACCAATTTCCAACAGCGGTCCTTTTGTTAAATTCAGGCCAATCCCTCTCATGTTTGAAGAATATTTTGTTAACCATGTGCATCTTTCAAACTGGAGAATGTTTTACTATATCCAATTCTTTGCCAGATATACAGCTTTTAATCACTTCTAAAAAAATCCCCTTCCATTAAAGTTCTGAGAAGGACAAGTTGTCACCTGTCCCTGTGTGTGACTGCAGTTTTAGGAAGAGCCCAACAGCCACTTCTGGGAATAGCTGGAAGCAAGTTAACAAACAAGGACTAGCATAAAAACAACTGGAGAATCTGTAAGAATTTCTACGCATCTTGCAACACAGGACACACACAGACTCAAAGAAACCCTTTCCTCCTTAATGTTTTTAGAGGTTGAGGGATGTCATGACTACTTGTTTTCTACATACCTTCATGATTGTTCATGTGTCTCCTATATTCTCGGAGTTGTGTGAATTTTCTTCCGCAATGCTCACAAACTCGTTCCAGATTTTGTTTTGCTCTTCCTTTTTTACCATGTGTAGCTTTCTTTACATGTCTTCTGTACAAAGCTTTCTCATAAAATTCTTTGCCACATATATTACATCTAAAATGTGTTAAATGAGAAATCTATTGAAACCATTGTTCTATGCTTATGTTACACTTTTTAAATCAAAATGCACTTCAATTACAGTAGGCAAAGTTCAGTGGGAATACTGTCTCATATGACAAGCAATTCCATAATTAGAAACAATATTGTTGGACCGAGCTACATTTTCTCTTATTCACAGCCACAAAGCTTCCACTTACCATTCTAGAGAAGTGAAGTCACATACAAAGCATTTCTAACATCATCAATTACAATTATCTTCTTACAACTTCACTGTAGTAGTTCCAGGATTGTGTCAGCAGGTTAAGAGTTGGACCACACTATCTGAAGCCACCCATCCATTTTCAAGCACTCAAGACCCCAGTCAACATCAATAAATTGGTACTTTAAGAAAGCACTAGGCAGTTCTTTCTTGACTGGCTGTGAATCTGTATAACCTCATAATGATTAGTACATTTCAGTTGTTAAATTAATTTCCTCTTACCTATAAGGGTCTGTGACAGAATGAGACTTTACATGAGAATACCAGTCTTTCTTCCAACTGTAACATTTTCCACAGAACTGACACTGAAATGGCTTCACACCTAAATGTTTATTCATATGCTGCCGAAGATCTCGAGCTTCATAGAAACTCTTTTCACACCTGTAACAGTCAAGGTTTTAGCATCTCACATAAGAAAGATCTTGTTGATCCTGATTTCAAAGTCACTGAACCCTCTTCTTTAATGGCAACTGAAGACTGATAAGACACCACCTAATGTGTCATCAGTATCTATGGAAAGCACAATTCCTTTCCAAACTAGGGAAATTAAAAGAAAAAAAAAAAACATCCAAAAACAGCTTATCTGAAAGTCTGGAATATACCTTGAGGAGCTCTGCAACACTTTTATTTGTTATGGGTAGCTATATTCTTTCTGTTATTTTTATGGGGAATAATCAAAGGCAAACCAACTGGAAGAAATCAGAAATCTGTATTATACCATATAAACTTCTGAGGATAGTAACAGCTTTCTTCCCTTAACCAAAGAGGATTAATTATTGATACAAAGATAACTGGGATTTGTTGTTTGTAATGCTCATAAGTGTTTTTTTCAAAATTAAAAATAAAATTCAGAATCCTACAAGAAAGCATCTGGAAGTAGTGATGGAAGGTGAAAGCATCTGGAAGTAGTGATAGGAAGTAGCTCATACTTTAGCCTGCTGCTTGTATACATCTAAACCCAGGCAAATTCCTAGTTGTCCTTCATGTATACCTTATCATAGTGTGACTATATATAATTACAAATCACTAACTCCTCTTGGTATGAAAACTGCAGAGGTCAGTCTAATCAAAGACATACTTTCTCCCCTTGGAAGAAATTCTGGTCTTCAGACACCTTTGCCTGATAATCTGCATCTCTTTCTCATGTAACACCATATACCTGTATGACTCAAGAAAGGACAGAGGCAAAAAAATGCCAGCAAGCAAAGGTGGAGGGTTCACCTTCTACAGCTGATCAACCTCTGGAATGAGGGAATCTCAGAATTCCCAACCTCCAGTAACATCTGGAAAAAAAAAAAAAAAAGCTTCCATACAGGAACAAAATTTCCTGAAGAATGGGCGTTCTGGAGAAGGAAAAAGCCTTCTTTGGTTTTCAGGGGGAAAAAAAAATATGAAAAAAAATTTTTTTAAAAGGGAAAAAAAGGAAATAAGAAAAAAAACCCCAACAGTGATAGTCCTTGAGCCACCTGAGCAATTTCCTCTTCCTAGGCTGGAAAAACTGACAGCTCCAGTTCAAATGGAGCTCTCAGGGATCCTGGGTTTGCAGATCCACATCAAAAAGTACCACAAAGACCCCTAAAGGTCTTGAATGGGGGTGGCACTTGATAATCTCCCCTCAAGGCCTGCATATTTGGAAAAGCCATTAGAGAAGTAAAAAACTCATTCAACCACTACCACCACTCCCTGACACTCAGGCACCACTGCAATTTAATCAAATACCTACTTCACTGGAAATTTTCCATGAACATTTCAGGAAAATAACTCACGTTCAGCTTTGTTCAACTGGGCCTGAAGCTCAAACTGGCTGGGAGATAAGAGTCAGACTTGAAGGCTGGTGGAGAGATTTACATACTGAGCCACTGAACCAGAAAACTGGTCTGGTTATTGCTTAGTGAAGCTCTTGAAACCATTTGTGACAACGTGAATTATATTCTTAGTATATATCTTTGCTGTAGAAGAAACAAGGGCTATGTCTGTTTTGAAGGAGCTGGGGAATCAAAATATCTTCTCTGTCAAGGTGATCTTTTTCATCCACGACTGTACTGCCTTGGGTAAAATGTTTTTATATTTAAAATATAATTCTCCTTCAAAACCAAAATTGCCTTCCCTAGTACATTTTGTCAAACAGTTCCGTCCCTGTTGTAGACCCTATTAGCTCTGTTCTTTGTGTTTCTAAGATTGATATTCTAAGCATTAAAAAGCACTAAATAAAAACATTGCTGACAGAATTAAAGCGAGTTTTCAGCAGTGAGAAAATATTATTTTTGCTAGCACGCAGCAGCACTACCAGAGATACTTTAAATAATATTTTATAGCTTTCACTAAAACCATGAGTTGCATACAGGCAATCAAACTGTGCAACTTCTCCTAATACCTGACAGAGCTTTCCACTGACACTTTGGAAATTAAGCACCATTTGTGCTTTTGCAGGTCACTTGAAAGGGTTCTCCTACAGTCTGCTTGTTCGTGGAAAAAGTATCCACGTTTTGCTACCGCACTAGGAGACACGCTCTTTCTGGTTACAGTTTCTGCTAAACTGAAATCCATAATGCAAAGATATTTAAGTGATCATATAAGTTTTATGGTCAAATTAACTGCAATAGCCAGTGAGTCTTAATTTATGATGTTCCTGTAGAGCTGTTTGCTAAACACAGTCTACTGCAGTGCATGCAAGTACATGACATCATAGACCGTATAGGAAATTTTCAAATTAAACTGAAATCAAATATTGCAGTAAAAGAGGGCAAGAAAAGGCTGAGGGCCTGTCACCACTGATGAGAGTACTGCTCTTCTATCTGTCCTACAAGGGAGCTTTAGGACCCCATAGCTACTGAGTACAGCTACAAGTGCCAAACAGAGTCATTAGAAAACAAATCTATGAAACTAGAGTTAGGTAACAGTTAAAAACCAAACTTTTGCTCTCCAATGTACTAACATGTATTAGCATGTATTAACGAAAGTGTGGTTTTTACTCTTATGCTTTAAGTGTCTTATTCCAGGCCACTGAACAGTTCTACACTACAACAAGGAGCTGCTTTTAATCTTTAAAACTACTAGGATCATTAATGTTAAGAAAAAAAGCCCACCAAAAAAGCCTACCAACCAACTTACTCGGTACACTGATATGCACGAACTTCAGGCTTTGGCTGGTGTTTCTTTATGTGTTTACTGAGTCCTGATGCCCTGTGGAAAGATTTTCCACAGATGGAACAAAGATACTTGGATTCTCCTGACAAAAACAAACAAAACATGTTACAAAGCCAAGCTTCCATATCTCTGGAGTGCTTTGTGAGAGTTTTTTGCTTTTTATGTAATTTATCTTAAGTAATCAGAGCAGTGCTACAAAGATAAGTTGGTTTAATTACATACAGATAGAATTTTTAAGTTTTTTGTATGTGCCAGTGTAATAACACACAGTGGGAAGCAGCAACTCTAAATTACTTTATTACATGTTTTTAAACACAGGTGTAACACTGCAGCTACTAATTAGTCATGAAATGCCAACAGCCTAAAAAATTGCCCTCTTGTGTGAAAAAAAAGCCAATTGCCTGTGCCTGTGTAATATGAAACTTCCCCAGCAACGCAGCAATGCTTACAGATAACTTATATCTTGAATTTGTGGAACATCACTTAAATTAAATTTGGAGTTTTCCACTCCAATTCATCAATTTAGGGAGTGCTGAGTACTAATTTAAATTCCTTCATTTCTACAACAAATGGTCTTAACAGAAACAGTCTCTTGATTCTGACCAACTTGGGAAACAAGAAACACGGACAGTTTCTATACATTACAATTTTAAAACTGCTTGTATTAAATTATTATCTTTCACATGCTACGATCTTTCAAGATACGAGGTTTTATAAAATTTCAGTATTAGTACAGCAAGTCTTGTAAAACATATATGGAGATTCTCAGAGAATTAACATCGCATGTTTTCCTCCACAAGGACCAGCCAGAAGTGTAAGTGCTCCAGAACATTCCAGCCTGTTGCTGATCTTTGTTGAATTGACATGATACAGCCATTAAACACGTACATAAAAACATAGGAACAGACCAGCCATGATTCACTGTTCTCATATAGAATATGTGCATAACATTACACTATGGTTAAACCAAGCCCAGAAAATAAATGTAAAATGACTACTTACCTCTATCTCAGCTGCCTAACCAGTAGAAGAAAAAGGAGAAAACACTACTTATTTTTTTAAAGAGTTCCTCTGACACTGAAGGACAATGTTAAATTTCAGCAGCACACAATAGCCAACCAAATTAAAAGGATCCTCCTCTTACCTGTATGAATGCTCATGTGTTCCTGAAGACTTCTTTTTGTGACAAATGACTTTTCACACAAGTCACACTTGAACTGTTTCTGTACTTCATGGAGAGCTAAGTGCATTTTTAATCCATGCTTATACGTAAAGGTCTTTCCACAAACCTAAAAAAATAAATCCAGATCCAGTGGAATAGGACAAATAAAACTCATTATGTAATAGGTGTTTAACTTCAAACACAACAAAACCTCCTGTGTCTCCTGGGAACCAGGATGGCCAAGCCTGTGATTTCACAGCAGTGGCAGAACTGGTCTGTTGAAAATAAACTACTCAAGGGAAGGCATTCTTCTAAACACAAGAATACGAACTTTCATGATTCAACTTCATTCTAGTTTTCTCAGTCTCGGACTACAAGAATTATCATGAGGAATGTTACAAGCTTTCCCTTTTCTGAAGTGACCTAAATTAACCTAAATTTTAGGACAGGATATGAATATCAAAATATCAAGAAAATGTTACTAATATGATTAAAGGATGTTACCTTGCACGCATGTGGTTTTACACCTGTATGTTTGAGCATATGTATTCTGAGAGAATAGAGCTTAGGTAGAGTTCTCCCACATATATCACATATAAATTCCCGTTTAGTTCTCCCTTTCACAGAGGAAACGCCTGTCTCTTCTACACTAGCAGCTGCTGTGTTCACTTCAGTCTTCCGAGTGTGCCGGACAAGATGGGCTCGCAGGGACGCACCATACTGGAATTCTTTTTTACACAACTGGGGAAGAAAGTATTACAACTTTACATTTAATATTCAAAATGTATTTAAAAAAAGGTAATAAAAGGTTTTAAGTATAATAATATGATTAGCTAGGTCTATAACCTGGCTCCAACAGACATTTTATCTCAGGTTGATAGTTGTGTATTTTGAATTTTATGGCTACTGATAGAACCGCTGATCACTTCCCAATGAGGGTAACTTCCAGGCTAAACGAATCATGGTTGCAAATTTACCAGTAAGATTAAAAGTAAAGCCCACTCCAGCACTGTCCCAAGGAGTTAGTGCACTACCATGTCACATGGTGCTGTCAGGCCATGGGACTGCACCACATTTCACCCCACCCCATCCAGATCAGGGCTGCAACCATCTCTGAAATCCGTAAGGTAAATAATACATGTGCAAAAAGAGGCAAGAAAAATAATTACTAATGTCATTACTGGATGAATTTTCATAAAGAGAGAGGTTTGCAGAAAAACAAAAACCCCAAACCAAAACTTACTGGGCATTTATAATCTTTACACCTTTCATGTTTCAGTGTGTGCATTATAAGTGCATAGCGCCGCTGGAACACCATTCCACACTCAGTGCATTTGTGCTGAGCTTCCACTTCATTATTTTCCGTGATGTCTCTTTTGGGTTGTTTCAACTTTTTCCCTCTTTGTACCAGCTTCATGGCAACCTAAGTTGAAGAAACATAATCCACAAATGAACTTTACTAGACCCTGTTTTATATTTCCTATGCAAGTTAGCACTAAAAGCTGATGTTTCTGTGTGTTGCTATAATACCACCAAATACTGCTCAGTTTACTTAGCTGCTAGGAAGTTACCCCCTTTCGGTTCACTGCAAAACTACGGATGTCATAGTGGGTCTTGTTTTAAAACCATAAACTGATTATAATTACAGACTATGACTTACTAGTTCAGAGACAACAAACTATTCAGCCCTGAGTAACTGCCTAGGTGAGAGTTAAGGGATAGTTACAGAGGAACCACATGGCACTGCCAGTCACAATTTCTATCAAATGTTTGCAACTCTTCCCTAATCTCCAACTTCCCTTTTCAGGATTTACATTTGCTGTACTACAGAAGTCATTAGATTTTTAAAAAAGCAGCCCAATTAATTTTTATCAGCTAGCAAAAACTGAGTTATTAATAACCTGTAAAAAAGTTTAGAGTATTTAAAAAAAGTTCTTTCTGGTTAAAAGCATTCCAGCTTTTCCACTGAAGTGGTCTTTTTGTTAGGCAGCAGTGTTGTTTGTTAGGCAGTATTGGCAGTGCTACCTGGAGCTGGTAATCTCGTTTTCCTTTGAAGAAACTTGCTGTCAAATTCTTTGAAAGCCAAATTGTAAGTAAGCAGGCTGAAATTTCCTGTATCAGATATCTCCCCTTCAAGTTTCTGAGAATAAGGTAATGGAAAAAAGTACAATGCATCCCCATTTCTTCCTCCTGTTCCCCCTACAAGTGAGGTATCTAACAGTTTTTGAAAACATGCTAGCCTTTCCACATGTCTCAGAAACAAACTAAAACTCAACCAGGAACATTTTTTTTTTTTAGTTTGGCTGTTGCCCTGAAAATTTATGCAAACTTGGCTAAATCATGATGCCACACAAAAAATTTTGTTCAGCAAACGATTAGTAAGAGCTTGAAAAATAATCCATTCAGACACAGAATGCTTCATCCCCAACATCTCCATACCCACTGCAATTACTGTAATTCAGAAGTCAGCAGCAGTTTGCCTGCAATCTCTTTTTCCCGCTATTCTTCCAGCATCAAAACCGGGAACTCAGGAAGGAATGTCTCCTTCCCAATGCTTACATCACATCCAGTGCCATGGTGGGGAAGGGGGGTGGGGTGGGGGGCAGAGCTGAGGGATGCATGAGACAAGAATACCAGAAGCTATGAAAGGAGTTAGGAAAGCAGAAACCTACTCCTGAATCCAATTCTGAGGAATTATTTAAACCAGTTTCTGTTTTCCATAGGTGGCCACTGTCTAAAGACCTCATCTGTCAAAAGGCCAGATTTAAACTAAAAACTGCAAAACAAGTTAACAGGAGCTGTTCCCAAAGCTAAATATTCCGCCTCCCAAAGCAGAACAAAACCCTGTCATTCTCCAACCATCATAAATAGGTTGCTCAATCATTATGGTTGTGCCAGTATTCACATCTGGGCTTTAAGTCCATCTGTAAAAGGAGACTAATGCTAAAATTTCTAACCACAAGGGTGCTGTAATGGTAACAAATTATCCCACTGCATGTGGGACTGGTGGCTCTAGTAGGTAAATGTCTCACAGAACATCTCTGGAAATGATCAGTTCTTCCTAAAATGCAGTCAATGTGGAATGAGTAAGGCAAAGTGTGCTCTGTCACAAAAATGAATGTATTAGTGCTCAGTGAAGTGAATGTCAGCTATCCATAGGCACTGAAAGAGGAAAGGCTCCTGAAGGGCAAAGAGTAAGACAGTCTCATTTAAAAAGATAATAATTGAAACAACTAGTTCAATTACTAAACATTTAATATGTGTGAGTGCTAGAGTTTTTAATACCAGTGCTCTCTGAACCTTTTTTTTTTTTTTTTGAACTGACCCCAGTCTGAAGGTAGCAGGACTACATTATTGTGGCATGACTATGTCTTAAGATCTACACAGGATATCAGATTTTTCATCCCCAATGCTCTGTTTTCAAGTCGTAACAAATGTAGGGTCTCACTTCTCTGATAGATAAAATACATTTGTCTATGACTGACATACACACATGCTAGTTAAGAGTTAAATTCCCAGATCATGAATAATTTTAGGGAGAAGATACACCTTCTGTTCAACCACAAGAAGCTGTGAGAAGATACTCAAGCTGGGCTAAGGTGACTGAGCACTCTAAACATCTTCAATATGGAAGGAATTTTTACACCAATGTTTGTTTTTTTTGTTTGGGTGTTTGGTTTTTTTTTCCCAACTGTCACATTTTAGAAGTTACTTCAGTTTGCCATAATGTTAATAGCTCAAAAAGAAAAACATCTGACAGACAGTGCTTGGAATCACAAAAGTCTTTTCAGACTGGTCTCGAAACACTGGTTGATTACTGACAACAGGCTTAAAGACAGATAGAATACCTGTTGTATTGCAGACTTAGGATTTGTCTTTCTATTTTGCAGTTTTTTGTCAGTTCCTTTATGCAATTTGATATATCCCCCTTCACTAACAGAACGCTGGCGCAGCTTGCTTTTGTAAGTATCATCCTGGCTGGAAGCTAGGCTTTCTGGTTGCGAAACTGAAATGCTCTGTTCTTCAATTTGCTTGCCACATTTTAGCTTGACTGTTCCTGAGGAGTCTTCAGAAGCACTGTCCACATTTGCTTTACCATTTTCGTTCTGATCTGTCTCAATTGCTGTTTGACTTTGTGTGTCCATGTCTTCTACAGCTGACGGCTTAGTCTCTACGACAGACACGGTGCTATTTGAAATGCTCTCCAGCAGCTGCATCTTGACGTAATTTTCGGTTGTTTCACACTGCTCCACAGGCTTTGGAAGACCATCTGGAGTGGCCTCTACAGGCTCTGGGGGCACCAGGTCAGGCTGGGGTGCTGCGGCCTCCTCTGTCCCAGCAGAGGAAGGAGCTCCATTCACAGCAACTGGCACTTCACTGGATGCAAGCTCCGGTTGCTCAGCACCGTCCATGGGCTGCCTCTCAACTTCAGTCTGTTCTGATAAATTTTGAGTTGACTCTACCGTTTGAATATCTCCCTTTTGGTACACAGTAATTTGTTTCTCTTCCATCTGTTTGTGCACATTTTCACAGATTTCGAGGACCTCTGACATGAAGAGATGCCGGGCAAGCATGGCTACTTCTGCCATACTACAGAAGTCAAAAGTTAATTCTGAAGTATAAGCAAATTCCAATAGAGGCAGGAAACTGGATTTGCAGAACCCTACCAGGAATAAAACAAGAGATTAGAGCAAACACTGGTGATCCCAAAGTACACCAAAATATCCCATGATGGATACAACAGTTCGCCTTTGATATGGTTAAGTCTGAAATTTAGAGCAAAAAGCACTTGCAAGTAACACTGCAGCCTCTCCACTGGGACTCAATTAATTGTCATATATGAAAAAGCGTCCTTCTTGTGTATTTTCTATGTGGAAGTAAGCTCAGCTTTCCAATAAGTAAGTAGAACTGAGGTAGTTTCACAATATAATTCTTTAGAAGAATGTTTCAAGATGCTGGGAGAGCCTCAACATTTTTGAAGCAGATTATCCCTAATTTAACCCAAGTCATTCTGGACCTGCTACATTCAGAAAGCAGTCAGGATTTAGGTAACAACTGCTGTGGCAGAAATATAAGACAAGAAAGTGGCTAATGAAAAAAAGAAAAAAGATACGGATATATAGATAGAAATGCTTATAAATAAGCATTTGGTATAACTTTTCACAATTCTGTAAGTCATAAATATTTAATTTGGGGGACCTTCCAGAACATCATACTACAAATCTATTGTTCATGCAGAGACAGATACAGTTAAACAAATGAGAAAGCAACGCAGTAGGTGTATGTTCTGTACAGTATTCTTCATCACTACAAAGCTATTTTTAGAACATTTATTTTAGGATCATCTCCAATCTTTAAGTACCAGAAGGTTTGAGAAATAAGCAGAAACATGTATAATAGTGTTTTGCACATATAAGAAACAATTTAGTATTTGTTCAGCTAAACAACTGAGAAGCTAGTCAACATCCCTTCTTGATGTATTCAAGCATTTGATTATGTACCCTTTTTTAATGTTTGTGACTAATACAAGGAGAAAACACACCTAATCAAAGTAAAAATCAATCCAAAGCTTCTCAGAAATTTTAAGATGAAATCCCATAGTCCATTCAATATGGAAAATCAGATTATGCAAAACTAGAGCCATCACTTTAGCATTAAAATCCACATAAAATACTTTCAGATTAAAAGAAAGAAAAATAGCAAGATGAAACATTAAGTTGTCTTGAACACTCAAAAAAAGACTGAATCAAATACTGTACACCTTACTTAGGATATTATGATTTCTAGCTTTGAAACCCACAACAATTCACCTGACAGATCCACTACAGCTTCATGACTAGAGACAGCTCCCTTTTCAATGAAGAGCTCTCGGAAGTACTCGCTGTTGGCTGCCAAGACAGATTTGTGAGCTTTGTACTCCTCTCCTTCAATCAGCAGAGTCACATCACAGAACTGATTGGAAAGCCTCTGCTGATTCAGTTGGTTTAAGACTGACAGACAATGTTTGGAAGATGACTGCTTCACAAGGCCCTTACTGTCAACCTGTCATAAACAACATTATGAGAACTTCATTACATTTAGACTGTGCCTTTTTAAACATTCACACTGAAATACAGAAAAGGATTATTTTCTGCAACTGTACAATCAGTTCAAGCCTGTACAGCATTTAGTTTAACTTTACTGTTGTTTTCTTTCTTTAAACGCATCCAGTTTCACCCTCCCTCCAAACACAGTTAAAACAGACAACCAGCAAAATGGGAAGACATGGATATTCAAGCAGTTCTTCGACCGTTATTTTTCAATGCTACAATCCGAAATGGTTTCTAGATTCAAAAACATTTGTTTACATGCATATGAACCCCCAGTTACCAACAAGAATTTATATGTATATAAATATAGCATCATTTATTAAGGATTCCATTACTATCTTGTATGTGATGCCTTACTAATTCTGCTTTTGCCATTCATTTTCCCTTGGGTCCTACAGGCATAAATAGGAGTTGGGCTTATTTTATTTTCGAAAGGTGACACACTAGAATTAACTTCACTCTATATATACCAGTAACCCGTTTCCACATATTGAATATCTTTGGCAAAATTTGTATCATATTATTAGAAGTTTATCACAGCAATGGAAAATAAGTATGTGACTAAGAACGCATTAACAAACATCTTAAATACATTCAGATGTAAACAATGGTACTTACAAATACAAGTTCATGCTTTGCTATTGGCTTCTTCTTCACAGGCTTCAGGGATGCCGCTGGGATTGATGGCGGATTACTCAATTCATCATCTGTTTCATTACTGTCTTCCTGAGATTTTACATCCAGTCCTAGCTCCTCCAGCATTTCAGAAGGATCTGACAGAGATCTAGAGCGATCCAGCTTCTCCTGGCACTTGCTGCATTCTTTAATGTAATCTTTAACCTGCTTAAGAATACCTAAAAAAAAAATTAATTGGAGCTTAGTTAGGCTTCTGATCTTTGTTCAAGTTACCTTAAACACATAAGTAAACATGTAGGTGACTAGCAAAACAGTATGACACACTTACTGAGAAAAATGAAGTCAGACACCTACACTTTGCTTCTCTGACTTCTTTTTACCTGTTTTGCTTCTCTCACATCACTGCATGATATGTCACTACTGTAATCCATCGTTATTTTGAGATAGTGCATTTAGAACACCACTATATCAAGCCAACCCTCCTATAAAGATTTTTAAGGCTAGAAAAAAATATTTGTATTTATACATTCTAAGAATCCCAAGACAATGAAAGCTGTAACCTAATCCTGCATTTAGCCCACACAAGTGCATCCCAGCTTGTCCTTACTGAAGGGGGCAAGAATTAGAAAGCTCACCTAAGGACTTTTGCAAAATTGGGACCGTGTTATATGCAATGATGCTGACATGTATTAACACCAATTTAAATAAATTGCATATGATTAGGGGATTTGAAGAAATTAACTTCCCACCAGTACTTTAACTGGTGTAACTAAATAATTTTTGATACTCAATAGTTCCTAAGCCCAGGGTCCTCTTCCAGGTAACAAGGCATTTTCAGTGTACGGCTTTCAACCCAAATTAATTTTCTTCATTAGGACAAAATAAAAGCATACATAACAACAGCCATGTCTTTGTAGCTCAAAATCTAGCACAGCTTAAAAACCTGGCTGACGTAGACTTGCACCGCTCACACCTTCTCAGAGCATGAGATGCACTATCATTATGTACATATCTCTGTAAGGATAGGGAAAACAGACTTCAGGCAACCCAAGACATTCATGCCCATTTCAAGCATTTTTCCTTGATTTCATCTGTCCATTTCTCAGGACAAAAGGTTTCTGGTCTTCAGATCTCATATCTAGCACCCTTCCTGGTCACTTGACCACCCTACAGCCCATTGCTTCCCAGTTACAGAGCAGACAGAAACAACAGACTGGCACCCATGTGAGGATGATGACTGGGTCAAAGCTGCTGCCCACTAGCAGCAGAAGAGCATTATAACGGCTGGGGAAGCCAATGTTTTAGAGGAGAAACAGATAAGAAACAAAACACTTGAACTGAAAGCAGGATGTGAATTTTAGTATTATCAGTGCAAGAGAAATAAGAGAATATAGGTTGTACAAATAAAGGTAGCCAATAAGATCAAAAGATGCAGATTACAGAACGTGCTCCTCTGACAAACAGAAGATATACTGATGTCCATTAAGGAAGTTTCCAGCATAGGATGACAGTAGATGCTAGAACAGTCCAATATTGGGCAGACGATGAGAATCCAGACAAAGGCAAGATGACCACCTTCCAGAATGCATTTGTCAACTTCCAAATCCTTTTTCACATCAAAGATCTTCATTCAAGTCAGCAGGATCTGGACTGGAAGGACAGGCTGCAGCTAGAGCAAAAAGCCTCCAAATCCAGATAGTGAAAACTAAAGCTGAAATGACAGATGTGCTGACTGATGGACCAAAAATGCATTAACAAGAGAAGCAGTACAAACAGAAACTAGACCCTGGGCAACAGAAATGTGGGATATTTGTTCAATGGATAGGTAAGACTAAAAGTAGAATGTCAGATCCAAAGGGAACACAGATAGCAAATCACTGGCTCAGCCAAAAGGCAGTCCCGATTGGGACTTAGTGCTGTTCGTAAGCTACTATTTCTAACAGCCGTGGCATCACTCGGGGCCCGTCTGTGGATTAGTTTGGTCTTTTCGGTTTCTCATGAGAAGAAAGAGCCAAATATAACAAGGAGTGCATGGACTAGGAGCCACGGCTGGCCGCTCTACTATTCGAACGTGAACACCAGGCACAAGCTGGCTGGAAAAGGGTTAAAAGCTGAGCTTGGTCACAGAGAATGGATGAACGCCCCATACAGAGCGTCCGGGCTGAGAAGTGCAACACCTGGATGGGGACAGCCGTGCTCTGCGCTCCCATATATTCCGAGCATCGCTAGTGGCTAAGAAGCCGCGGGACAAGTGGCCGAGCCAGGTGTAAGCCGCACAGGCAGGCCTGCCCCTCGCAGCAGCGACCCGCCGTCGCGGCCGGCACCCCACGGCGGATGTCCCCGGATGAGGCAACGGGGAGCCACGGAGGCGCTTACTTCATGATGGCGGCGGCGGCCGGGGCCGAGAGGAAGGGAGAGGAGGGAGGGACGCGGAACAGAGGCTGCCGGGAAGCGGCGCGCAGCACGCCGGGACAGTC